GTTCTGAGATATAAGAAAAAGACTATTCTTATGGGCTACTTTTGGGGGGCTGTATTTCCGAAAAAGGGGGCCAATTGGCAAAACTAAAAAATACGTGTCCTCTAAATTTGTCTCGAGAATCTGTGACCAAATTTTGTTGCATTAATTTCCGGACACCCTGTATATATATAACAATTATAATTGTTTTTAATTTGTTTTGCACATACAAATAATCTTTTGTTTATTTAAGTGCTTCTTAGCACATTTATTGCCATTATTTTATTTATTTAATATATTAAGATAATTTGTAAACAATATTATATTCTATCTTGAGCAATAAATATTATTATTATTATTATTATTATTATTATTATTATTATACCCAAGTAGCACAACTGGTTAAATTAACGTTAAATTTACGTTCTGTCTGGTTAATTTACTTAAGTTATATTGTACTATAAACTTAAATTAACGTTATTTTGTAATAAGTGGGGAATAAAAATCATGGTTAATTTAACGTTATGTTAAGTAAATTTAACTTCTTGGTTAATATACCTGTCGGTTAAAAAAAGTTAATATTTGGTAATTTTTGGTTAATTTTACCCTTTTTTGACTGCTTTTTAACTCTTTAGTCAACTTAAACTAAAGTGAAAAAACCAACCATTTTAAGTTTATTTTAACTTAATATAATTATAATTTACCAAGTAGGTATATTATACTACACCAAGTATGCATAGATCTACCATTTTAAGTTTATTTTAACTTAATATAATTATAATTTACCAAGTAGGTATATTATACTACACCAAGTATGCATAGATCTATGAGTATTAAGATTTTAAATAAAATGTCTCCCCTGAATATTAATATCTTCATTTTAATATTTAAAAGAGGTAGTTCTAGGAGAAAAACCAATGGGGCATTTTTTTTCCTGAAGAAATGGCTCATAATACTTTTATATTTTAAACGCGCTCAAAAAAGAATAAGAAATGAAGAAAATAAAAATTTTAAAAAAATATTTTTTTTGCTTATTTATTTTACTTAAAATTGATTTAAAATACTTCCAAACATAAAATAATACTATTTTTTATTATTGGTTTATTTAAATTACCTTATTTTTGAATTTTTTTTTTATTGATGTACGTAAACCTAAAGAACCCATTGTGGGTAATAACAGGTACATTTTGTTTGTATATAAATAAATGTAATGTGTAAAACAATGTGTATATATATATAACTGTATAAATAGATAGAATATAAATATGTAAATAAATGTCTCGTTTATATCACAGATCTTTCCTAGTACTAATAATATGCTGGACTATAATTTTTTTGAATTGGGTGTCAGTCATGTTTCTGTAGCTCTCGGGCAAATTGTTGTACAAACTAACTCCTCCTAAAGCCAGTCTTCTCTCCCCCATTTTGGTTTTGGACTTTAGCAATCTGTAAGTGTCCCTTCCCCTTGTATTATAGCTGTGAAGCTCACTATTCATTTTGGCATTCAAGCCCCGTGTTTGGTGGACTATTTTTAAGGTTTCAGTCTGCCTCAGTTCCTCTATGTTTAACAATTTCGTGCTTTGGTAGACATATGCGGTTGACATGTCTTTTTTTAGATTGTACAAGATTTTTATGACCTTGTTTTGTTGTCTTTGTAGGTAGTTTAGGTTAGATTTGTCTCCTGTTGCCCAAAAGGTTATGAGGTAGGTTAGTTTTGGCTTTATGTACGCGTGGTAGACTATGTTTTTTTGTTGTGTAGGTAATGCATTGTTTAGTTGTGAGCTAAGCATGTATATGATGCTAGAGTTGTGGCTAGTTGTTGTATGTGGTTCTTCCAGGTGAGACGTCTATCTATGGTAAGTCCTAGATATTTTATTTGCTGTACTTCTTTCAAAGTTTTGCCCTTTAATTTTAATTTATTGTTGTGTGTCTTTGGCCTTTTTTCTATGTGGATTATGTAACATTTCTCTTCGTTTAGTGTTAAGAGATTGTCGTTTGTCCATTTTTCCAGTTTTTCCAGGTCTTGCTCCATATTTTGTTGAGTGGCTTTATCATTATTGTTTACATAGAAGATTGTGAGGTCGTCTGCATACATCATATGCTTTCCATTTAGATTTAATTTGTATAAGTCATTAATGTAGATGATATATAGAAATGGACCAAGTATCGATCCTTGAGGCACTCCAAAGTCGACATTTTGGACATCACTATGCGTTGATCCTATTGTTGTGTACATTTTCCTTCCCTTTGAGTATGATGTAAGCAAAGCCAGGGCATTTTGGTGTATTCCAGCTTCCTCCATTTTTTTGCCAAAAGTGGCCAAGTCCACTGTGTCGAACGCCTTTTTGTACTCAAATATTAGACCAGTTACGCATTTTCCGTTGTCCAGTTGTGTCTGTGTAAATTCTAGCAGGTCGATCAAGGCCGTTGTTGTCCCTCAATTTTTTCTGAAACCGTGTTGAGATTGTGTCAGAAAATTTATGTTTTGTATGTGATCATATAATCTATTGTGTATAACCTTTTCAAACACCTTATTTAAAGTAGTTAGGTTTGCTATTGGTCTGTAGTTGCTCGGATCTTGTCTATTTTCACCTTTCCAAATGGGTGTGATTCTTGCTATTTTGAGCTCTTCTGGATAAGTTCCCTTTTTTATGTGTTCGTTAATTAGTTTTACTATTGTAGGTCCTATTATGCTAACCAGATTTTTTAGTAATAGTGGTTTGATGTTGTCGTATCCTGGTGACTTGTTGTTGTTCATGTTTTTTATTATGGTTTCTATTTCCTTAAGGGTGGTGGGTCTAAGGTACATTGATGCAGTGGGTTTTTGTTCGGTAGGATGTGCCAGTTTGGTCTGATTTATTTGAGAAGCAAGTTTTTTCCCTATTGTTGCAAAAAAATTATTTATGCTGTTTGCTATGTTTTTAGAGTCTTTTGTTGTTGTTCCTTTTTCTGTGATAATCTCGTTGATTTCAACTTTGTGGTTGTTTTTTGTATGCTCGGTTTCTTTGATTATTTCCCATATTTTTTTGCCATTTCCATCAGCAGCTTCTATTTTGTGTTTATAATACATTCTTTTTTCATGTTTGACCATGTTTTTAACTCTGTTTTTTAATTTTTTAAACTTACTTTTTATAAGGTTACAGTCCCTGTTTTTTACCATGTTTTTGTAGGCTTTGTTCCTTAGTTTAATTTCTTTATAAAAATAAAAAATCAATAATAAATAATAAAAATCAAAAATAAAAATTAATGGCATTTCCTTTTGTAAAATGAACAGCAAGCAATATGGCGATTATAGGATGCTTTTACTAATTGGTTATTTAACCAATATAAATTAACCTGCAAGTTTATTTAAACCATTTAGTTATTTCCTTGTGTTTAAGTTAACTACTTTATTTACCCATCAGTAATTTATAACTCTTTGGTTTTGGTTTCAATTTGGTTACATTTAACACATTATAGTTAAAAATTACCAAAATTTAGTTAAGTTAAACTAACTTGTTATTTTTAAAATAACTAACCTAAAATAAATTCCTGCCGAACGTTCTGCACAGAAAAAAAGGAATGATTAATTTAACTATATTAATTTAGTTGACCCATATTTATTTAAATCAACTGTGGGTAGGTTAATGTAAACAAAGATTAGTTTGACGGTACTAAACCAGATAGTTATTTTATTTTTTTAAATTGGTTAAATTAACCCAGAAAACTTTAGTGAAACCAACCCGCTGTATGGTTCAGTTTACTAAATATGTTTTTTGTAAAATAAGAGTTACTTCAACCTTAAGCACTCTGTTAAAACGATGCCATGTATTCCTGGTTGCATAGTATGTACCGATCGCGGCAAAGGCGGTGTGGATCACGTGATGTTCTTAAATCTCGCCTCTGTTAACTTACATTAAGAGTATATAACGTAGTCCTTTGCTTTGGTGTGACACTACAAGTTGTACGATACTAAAGATACCTTAAATAGGTGGAAACAGATGTCAATACTTGAAGTATTTTAAGTTGGTGGAACGCACTGAAAACATTATCTCTAGCGAGTTCAGTTTTCTGGAATAATACCACTGGTGTTATACTAATAATGCGTCAAGGAATTTCCTGTTTCTTGAAAAATATAAAAAAATGGCTTAAAAAAATGTTTCTACTCCAAATATTTCAAGATCTTATATTTTTATTGTTAGGCCTATGGCCAAGTTGTACCAAGGCGTTAACCTAGTTAGGTTAACAAATTATATTGAGTCAATTCAACCAAATGTATTTAGTACATTGGACTGGTAGGTAAATGTTACTTTAACTATATAAATGTTTGTTTTAACCAAATATATAGTTGTAGAATATAACTAAATGCGGTTGTTAAAATAACTAAATGTTTGGTTGGCTCTATTGAAACAATAGATTTAGTTAAATCAAACAAATAATAGTTGGGCTAACCAAACCTTTTTTTCTGTGTGGAAAACGTTGCAGTGTGTGTCTACTACACAGACAATCGTGTGGCGTTTTAAAGTTTATTTATAAAGAGGCTTTATTTCTGGTTCCTATTTAAGTTCCTAACATGTCAACTATTCCTAACATCAGTGTTGTAACAGTTACATTATTTTCAGTATCTAGTTACAGTTACAGTTACTTACCAAAATTTGTAACTAGATACAGATACATATTTTATTACAGTTACCTTCAAAAAGTATCTAGATACCTACAAATCATTTTTTGCTTTAAAAAATCTAAAATAGAAATAAAAGGGCATTTTAAAGAAACAAAAATATACATGTTTATTATTTTTAGTTTTTTATAATATTTAATACTAATACAACTTATTTTTTATAATATCTATTTTTTTAGCATTAATAACATTTCAAAGTTATTGTCCGATAATCTGTTTCGTCTAGGTGTTAGAAGCTGCCCCCCTGTACTAAAAAGCCTTTCTACTGCTGCTAATGATGGTAAAATTGTATTGTAAATTTTAAAGATTTCTAGTATAACTTTATACTTTTCCAGTACCTTTAGTTACTTTGTTTTGTTATCTTTTAAATATTGCAGAAACTGCATAGTACAAATTGATGAAGACATTTCTTTCCCACTAGTTTGATATGGATCGGGATTATGTATTTCAATATTACTTTGGCTGTTGGTGGAGGAAGGGCTATGTAAGATACTAAAAAAATCATCTTCTTCCATTTCAATGTCAGGAGAATCTTCCATATCATCTTTTTTGCCATTTTATACAGTCTTTCCATTTCTGACAGAAATAGAGATTTGACTGTATCATAACATGGATAAGTTTTTGCCAACCATTTAAGCTTAAATTTTGGCAATGAAACGGTAGCCAGTATATATTGTTTGGAAGAGCTTTTTAAATCTAAAATTTCACCAAACCTTTTAGATAGACTTTCCAAAATTGCATTTTTCAGGGGATCACAATAGACTAAATGAGTCAGAGAATTTAAAGTTTGTCTTATTTGAATAAGAGTAGGTAAAACATAACCAAGATAGCATTTGTCTTCACCTTGTAGTATATCAATGGCTTTAGCAAGTGGTTCCATAACATTTTTGTATTCTTCTAAAAACTCCATTTCAGGTGATTTTAATTTTGGTTTCTGTTGTTTTTCACATATTGCAGAAAGAAAATCTTTTAGAGTGATAATTCTAGTCACACTGTCATAGAATGAATTCCAACGTGTTTCACAAGGAACAAGTAATTTACATTTACAAATCTGTTCAACTGCATCGGATGCACTTGTTGATCGATGGCAAAGATTCCACAGGCCAGTTAATTTAGCAAATGATGAGTGATACACTCTTTTATATGTTGCATCTTTTAATGCAGCTTCAACATCTTTTGTTGCTATTAGGTTTAAAGTATGTGAGCAACAACGATAATGTTGAGGTAAAGTAATTTCAATTTCATCCATATCTGTGTCATCAGTTTGAATAAGACTAAAATCTGGAATATCTACAATATCAACACGAAGTTCTTCATTAAGAAAATCTGTATCGTCTGGACAGGAAACCGTGTCAGGAATTGCATACACCCTAAAAGATTTAGCAAAATTGCTAGCATTGTCTGTAACTGTGCCAACTAGTTTTGTACCACTCAGATTATAAGATTTGTATATAGAAGACAGCAAAGTACCAATTTCAAGATAAGTATGGGAAAATTTCATTCTTCGGCATGCTAATTAAGTTTGAATCAATATAATGTCCGGTAACACCAATATAGCTCTTATTATTTGCACTCCAAATGTCAGCAGTAGTACAAACATAATCTGCTTCATTTAAATGCTGTTTTAAGTTATTCACCATGTGTTTATACCGTTCCTTCAGTTTTTCAATAGTTGTTTTTCTACATGGAGGAGTACAATGTGACAAACCATAAATAAGATTTTTAAATGATTTTTTTTCAACTGTGTATATTGGTAGCATTTCTTCCTCAATATAATTAAACAACGTTCGTTAACCTTAAATTTAATGTTTGTGAGTAAACAATAGAAGTGTTCATACAAAACAAAAAACCTACCATATCTTTGGACATCTGGCACTGGCGCATTCGCTCGAAGGGGTTTAGTCTTAGCTTTTTATCTGGTGGAGAGCCTTCAACTTTTTGGTTGGGCTGTTTTTGTTTTTCTGTAGTCATAGTCTTTAAATTTGCAAGTTTTTTAAGAGCGGCTGGGTGCTTTCTCTAGAAACATGTACAGGGTATTTTAAATGCTGCAACTGCAGACAAAAACTCTGACATAGATATAGAGCGATTAAACAAACAAAAGTACAACTAGCAATAGGTTAGGTTAAGTTCAGGTACATACGTTACTTAATAATAACTTAAAAATGTTACTTACTCGTAAATGAGTGTAAAAGTTTCCAGTGGCATTTCTACTGCCACTTATTATGGATTTTATTGGGCAAATTCTGCATTCAGCCTTCACTTGTTGGGTAGGTTCCAATGGGTCATGGTCCTTATTGTCCAAAACATTGAAAAGATGTGCCTGAGCACTTAGAATAAGAGGTAAAGTAAAGCCACGGTTGTTATTGTTATTCGCCTCCATGTCAATTTCGATTCACGATTGTTTAATTGTCGATTACAATCATAGATAACAAAATACACTTGAACTGAAATGTCTGAATGTCTCGGTTGGGTTTATTAGTAGAATCTGCTTTTTTGGTACCTAATTTTTCAATATAATTTGGATAGGTATAATAAGTGGACAAATATTTTTGTAATTATTATTAAAATTTTTAATACAAGTACTTATTTGTACATACATATAATACTCATTTTTGTAACAAGTTTCTTTAAATTTAAATTGTAAACAAACTTTAACTGTCAAAGTGCAGATTACAGAAAACTGCATCTACCACGGCTTTTAAAACCTTTTTTAATCAGTTTAGGTTAGATTTCTTTACTCAACGGGAGTAGATTTGTTAAAAAATATATGGTCATATTGTTGGGTACGTTCAGAACATAGAAAAACCTATGGTTCAGAAATTAAAAATTGTGCCAGAAGTGGAAGTGCACGTGTTTTTCTTGTCCAAATAAATATTAGTCGCAGTTTAATTAGAAAATGTATCTTTGTATCTTAACACGCCTAGTTACTTAAAATTTGTAACTAGTTACAGTTATAGTTACTAGATTGGGATAAGTAACTAGTTACACAAGCAGATACATAAAACTAGATACTGTATCTAGTAACTTGTAACTAGATACATTACAACACTGACTAACATAGTAGGTAAGTACAAAGATCATAAGTATTGTAGTCAGGCCCGGGACGGAAATAATAACACTTCTTGATTTATAAACTTTAATTTACTTAAAACACAGTGAGCGTCTCTTCGCCATTTTCTCTTCGAAAAAAATTAGTGTTGCCAACCTTAAGAAACTAAAAACTAAAAAATGGGACCTACATTATCGACAACAACAAAAAATGCACAGGGGCAGTGTTGCCAGAATGTATAAGTTTTCCTACAACTCGGCCACTCCTGACCTTTAGTCGTCTCGACTAAGGACAGCAGTTTACAAGTTTTAAACAGTCAATATTATAAATATAAATACATAGCAGTCATCATCAATTTCCAGAAGTCTTTTCATAAAAGTCATAAATCTTAAGTATAAGGTCATAACAGGTAAGTAGGTACATAATAAATCGTAAAATATACAAGTCGTAAATCTCATAAAGTTACTTCATAAAACATAATTTGGTCCATAATACATAATGTCACAATCATTCATCATAAAACATCATAAAATCAAAAATCATTAGTCAAAATCAGGAACAAAACAAGTCTTAATCGGTACACCTAGACCAAAGTTTCATTTGATCTGGCGCTGCAATACCATTATACGGAATCTGTGTCAATTGAAAACCATCAACGTCCGATAAAACATAACGATCTTTATCTAGAAACTTTTTTATCACATATGGACCTTTAAACTTAGGTATTAACTTTTTGTTAACGGATGGAGTAGTGTCAACATTTTTAATCATGACATAATCGCCTACCCTATAATCAGTAACTTTCTTACGTTTTTTGCTATAATATTTCTCGTTTGCACTTTGACTTTTCTCAATATTTTGATGCGCAATTTCTCTAGAGTTTTCTAAATCGCGGTCTAACTCGGATAAAAAAAATAATCTAATCTTGTCATTTAATTTACCTTGCTGGCAAATTCCAAATAAAAGTTCACTAGGTGATGAACCAGTTGAACGACAAACCGTGTTATTAAACGAAAATTCTACTTCTTGTAAAACATCTACCCATTTATCAGGTTCAGGACATAATTTGGCCAACACGGGGGTCAACATACGGTGTACCCTTTCAGCCTGTCCATTGGCCCTTGGTGTCCCAGTGGCAATCTGAATAAACTCGATTATTTCCTCGCCAAGAAAGTCCACAAACTTCGTTGAAGTGAAAGCCGCACCTCTATCTGAAATTAATCGCTTCGGTTTACTGTAAAAACGGAAATAATGTTGCAAATGCTTTATAACTTCGTCGGATTTTGTCGATTTGCATGGAAAAAGCCTAACGAATTTCGTAAAAGCGTCTATAACTGTTAGGATATATTTATATCCATTTGAAGTAGTAGTCAATGGCCCATAATGGTCTATGTGTAAAGTTTGAAAAGGAAGTTTTCCCTTCGGAATACTATGTAAATAACCTTCGGACATTCCGCTCGTCGGTGAAAATTCAACGCATTTTAAACAGTTCGAAATATAAGTTTTAATTTTTTGTTTTAACTGCGGAAACCAATAAACTTTTGTGAGAAATCCCACTACCTTTTCCAACCCTACATGCCCTATGTCATCGTGACAAGATCGTATAACTGCATTTTCCATCGAGACAGGTACATAAAATAATAGTTCTCCATTTTTGTACTTTCGATAAACTAAATCTTCACGCAATTCATAATTAGGATCTTCAGAATTGACTAATTTATCGCGGATTCTATTTATTTCGGGGTCTAACGTTTGTTTTATAGATAAGTCTTGTTGAAATGTATTGGATTCAAGTATTAAAATACTGTGACACCTACTTAACGCGTCAACATGTGTCATTTTACTTCCTGAACGGTGTATTATTTCATAATTATAGTTCTCAAAAAACAAGGCCCACCGGTAAATTCTGGGGTTAATCTGCTGTTTGGACAAGGTAAGTTTAAAGCTATTACAGTCTGTATAGATTTTGAATTTTATACCAGCCAAATAAACATGGAACATTTTTATAGCATAAACAACAGCAAGGCACTCGAGTTCATAACTGTGATATTTTGATTCATCAACACTGGTACGTTTGCTAAAATAAAAAACAGGTTTCCATTTACCGTCTTTTTGTTTTTGTAGGAGGATCGCGCCAAAACCGTGGGAGCTTGCATCACAATGCAATTCGGTATCGCATGTTGGTGAATAAACAGCTAAAATCGGGTAAGAAGATAATCTACTTTTCTCCAAACTGTTTAATTCTTTTTCAGAAAATATAAATCTGGCATCCTTTTTAATTAGATCATATAAAGGCTTTGCAATAATCGAAAAATCTTTTATAAACCTACGGAAATAACTGGCTAATCCGACAAATCGGTGCACTTCTTTAGTATTTCGCGGAATAGGATAATCTAATACTGCTTTAATGTTTTCTTTACTCGGTCTGATACCGTCAATGTCAATTGTATAACCTAAATTAGTAATTTAAAAAGCTTCATTTGTCTAACCTTAATTGCAATTAATTTTTATTCATAATAAATAAAACTTGTTTTAATGTGTCTAAATGTTCATGCAAAGTTTTAGTTGCTATTAGAATATCATCCATATAAATTATTATTTTACCTTCATTCATAAGATTCTTAAAAATTTTACTTATATACCTAGAGAAAACTGCAGGACTATTGCACAATCCAAAGGGCATTATTATTATTATTATTATATTTTATTCTTTAAAGTGTCAAGTAAGTCGTCGATAAGTGGCAAAAGAAATCGGTCGCGAATTGTTATTTTATTTAATTCTCGAAAATCGACGCATAATCTTAAGTCACCGGTTTTACAGAACTAATCTCTACTTTGTTGTTTTCAAAAGTAACCTTAATATTTTCATTAAAAATAAAATTTCTCCCGAAAAGACAATCATAAACCATTGTCGTACAACATGGTATAAAATAGGAATTTCTAAGTTACACACTCATAGGTGCCTAATATTTCAATTTGAGAATGATTTACTCCAATATATTCAGTTTTATCAAGGTTAGTCTTAATTTTGTCTAATGGTACAAAAATATTTTTAATTAATGAAATAGGACTACCTGAGTCGATAATGGTTATAAGATCATAAATCATACCCTTTAACTTTACATTCATTGAACAGTCTGGTACCCTGGGAGTTGGCTTAACATTTACAAAATGCGTAGATCTTGCAGCATCGCTCTTGGCTCCTGGTTGAACATCATCTGCTCTTGGAGGTCTGCTTGTCGTTCTCTTCGAACAGTCCTTGGAAAAGTGACCCATTTCTCCACAAATAAAACAGGATCCTCTCTCTCTCTCTTTGGTTGGGTACAGTTGGCAGAAATATGACCACTGCGGTTACAGTTGACACATTTAAATGGTTTCGGAGAAGGTTTCACACTGGTTGCAGTCATAGAAGTTTGGGGAGTCGTAACGTTTCTACTCGTATAGTTGGGTGTCGAGTCTTTTCATTGTATTTAACAGCTGTTCTAAGGTGGTAAAACACTGCATTCTTGCTTGAGATTGTAGTACATAATTGTCAAATCCATCAATTGTGAATTCAATAATCTCTTCTTCATCTATTCCAGCTTTATTTCCAAATAAGATTTTTTCATGAAAATAATCTGTGACTTTCTCACCTCTCTTCCACCTTCTTTGTTCAAATTTTTTTCTTAGTTCAATCTTGTTTTGTCTCAATGCAAACATTTTCTTCAGTTCTTTTTTAAATATGGACCAGTCCATAGTAATAAAGTCCTTTGAATAATACCACTCTTTGGCTTGTCCCTTAAGTTTTCCAACCGCAACTAACTTCATAACATTATCACTAATCTTGTAAACGCTCTGAACGGCATCAATTAGTTCCAGCCAAAGCTCAACATCTTGGTCATTTCCAGAAAATTCTGGAACGCTGCGATTTCTGAATTTTTTATTTTTTCATTCGACTGCTCAGATTGAGGAGTTCTTTGTTGGTCATGTAAAACCAAGGCTCTTACTGTCGTTTGGATTATGTCCTCTATTGTCATCATTGTACCTTGATTCTGAACAGGTGAAGCTGAACAGCTCGCATTTTGGCCTAAATTGTCATTTTTATTGGGGGGATCCATACTTCTTGTAGCGGTTTTTTCTTCGTTGCTTTAATTTAACTGATACTTGCACATAACGGATGATTCTTCAGGTCTAATCCCACTTCGGAACTTTGTAGTCAGGTCCGGGACGGAAATAATAACACTTCTTGATTTATAAACTTTAATTTACTTAAAACACAGTGAGCGACTCTTCGCCATTTTCTCTTCGAAAAAAATTAGTGTTGCCAACCTTAAGAAACTAAAAACTAAAAAATACATTATCGACAACAACAAAAAATGCACAGGGGCAGTGTTGCCAGAATGTATAAGTTTTCCTACAGTATAACAATTATTATTAGTAAATATAATTTTTTTTAGTTTTATAGGTTATGATATAACCTAAAATGTCAAAATATATCCAAAACATGCTTTTAGATATAATTTTAATTTATTTCAGAAGTATTGACTTGGGCTGTAGTTGCCTTTAAGGAAAAGAGAGGCACCAGCATATGTGCCGTACCTTCTTTGTGGGTGCAGAAGGTAGGGACAAAGGCCTTTGTCCACTGGCCCAAATACAATTTAACAAAATTAAGGCAAGATGCAGCCTCTACACCAAGCGAAAATTGGGATACTTATGAATGCCAAATTAAAAAAAGGTCCATCAATACATATAAGAAAGCCCTGATTTGAGAAACGGTTCTTATAGAAACAAATACTGATGAAGAGCCTGGGTAAATAATATTTTTATTATGAAATATACAATGAAAAATACTATATATTTTTAAGTTATAGATAATGAAATTTGTCAATTTTAGCATAAGTATTGTTGGGCCACCTTTGTTTTACGACTCATCATTTGAGAGTATTGAAAGTGCTTCAAGTACAAACAATAGTTTACTAACAATTACCGCAGAAGTTAATCTAGTTAGTAGCCCTAATTTTGATGTAATATTTGAAAAAATTGATAATGGTAATTATATTAATTTTTTTACATATAGGTATAGGTATATTAATTTGGATGATTTTAGTTGAAAAAAAAATGTGACAAAATTATGAAAGAAAATGCTAGTATTAAAGAAATGTTGGACAATATTGAAAAATTAATTAGATCACAAATTCAGCAAAATATTGAACCTACAAAAACTAATACAGTTGCTCGATGCAACTTGTGAAAATTCATTTTTGTTTCCACTGAACTCCCCAGAGGAGATTATAGAGTTAGACAAAAAAATATTATTATATAAGGAGTATTGCACATATTTTGAAAAAAAATTTTAAACAAGTTTGGACAGGATGGTACAAAATTGGGCAAAAAAATGATAGATATTATTTTTACCCCAAGTGTATTAACCAACTTTTCCTGGACAGGTAAGGCTTTTATTTTATGAAATTTAATTTATAAATTACAAAATAAAATTATTTTAGGCAATTCCAAATCAGGAAAAAAAAATTCATTTAGTGTGTTGGTGGGTTTTATAAGATCATTTACAAATATCATGACAAAAGTTGACTGTAAATGGAACATAACAGAATCGGAAAGATTTTTCAAAACAAAGCTTCTTAAATTCTCTATTCAAAGAGAGAAGGTGGCATTGGCAAAAGTGAAGAAGGCAAAAGGGGAGAATAAAGAAAATGAAATTGCTGAAAACATAAACTTAACCAATAACAATGAAATGACCGAAAACATGACTGAAAACTTGTCTGAAAACATGACTGAATACTAAAACTAAAATAAATAGGCTGTTTTAAAAAGATAAATTTCAGTATTAATATAAAATATTTTATATAATTATTATTATTTTGTAAGTATAACAATGTACCTGGAAAAAACAACTATATTTTTATTTTTTATTATTTACTAGAATAAAAATCTTATTTTTTATATTTTAATTTGTTATATTTTAAGGGGTTAGAACTGAAATCGTATTTTAAGGGTTTTTTCTAATATTCTTTTTCTACAAAATTTTTTTTAACTTTAAAACAAGTATTTTTTATTTATATGCTTTCAGTTACAACCCCTTCAGTTTTTAATTTGTTTTTTTTAATAAAAGTTTATTTAATATAATTTTAGTTTTTCTTACATTAAATTACATACTTTTGAAAAAATGGACTGCATTTAGAAAAAGGTTTAAAATTAAAACAAAGTGACGGTCTAATAATCTATTTATTAAAAGTATGTATAAGTGGTATAAAACATACATATTTTGATGTTTTATTAAAAACATCTTACATTTAATAACATTTATGTCGTACATTTGTAACGATCCATTTAATTGTATGTCTGAAGAATATATATTTAAATAACTAGATTTAAAAGCCTCTATAAATTAATCAAAAGTTTTTTGTTGCTTTGTCCCATAAATATATATTTTATTATTAAAACAAGTTGCATTTTTCATGCACACTATTTCCAAGTTTTTGGTTAAAAACCAACAGTCCTTAATGGTGGATGTGGTTCTAGAAGTTCAACTACTGATTTTTTGTTCGGCTCTGCTAGGTTTCGAAGTTGTTGGACATTTCAACTAACAGTTAAACTTACGTGAACATTGGTTAAATATATTTGGTTTGGAATGGAATTTATTTTTTTTCGGTCATGGTGGCCCAGTTACCCGGAATTTTGGGGTAACTGGACCACCCTGGTGTATTGTCTAACTTGAAAGCACTACAAATATTTCAAGGTAACTGGGCCATACTCCAAAATGAAAGCTACAAGTCAGTTCAAATTAGAGGGTGCTATCTCAATAAATGCCAAAACTACAGGAGTTGTAATGAAACCATGTCAAAAGTAATAAAAATGGTTATTTAAGTAGTTTTTTACATGAAAGAACGAATAATTGAAATTGAATTAGAACAATGGTTATTTATTGTAAGAACAAAGTTTAGCCATTTCTGGAACGGAATATGACCCCTTTTGTTCACCAGCTGAGGTTTACCGATAATTTTAAAGATTTCCGGCTCATCGTAATCCAAAATGTCGGGTTTTGCAGGCCAGCGAAAATCAAATAATCCACTTTTTTGCATGTGACTGATTTGAACCTTATTTTCGTTGAGTGACAATACTTCAGGATAATACTGGCCGTCGCAGTTTACAATGACAAAGTCTCCTTCTACCACTGCTATTGTTTGAACGATTTCGTCTTCTGACGATGATCCCTCAATCTCGATTTCATCATCAGATTCAGAACTACTACTATGTGATTTTGGAACAGGATTCTTTCCAAGCCTAGGCTTTGCTTTTAATTCTACCCGTTTTTCTTGTCTTTAATTTTTTTTCCTTTCTTTCAGCTCCTTCTCTTGAATTTCCTTTTTCTTGACTTCAATGTAATCAGCTGCTGTTATAATTTCCGCTCCAGAGCAAATTCTCCTTTTCTTCTTTGCCGGGGTATCCAGAGTTGATCGTTCTCTATGGCTTTTTATTAAATTAAAAAAAAGTGTTTCAAATGATTCTTCAGTTGCACTTAAAATTGCCTCAGTCTTTGAAGAGATACATCAAACTGGTCCCTTTTTTGGAATATTGATTCTTGAGTTTGATGGTCTTCTGCCATGGATTGCTGGCTTTGTGTTTCCAATGTTATTCCTACGTCAGCTTCCGGTTGTTCTTGTGGGACTTCAACTGCTTGATCTTCAATATTTGTTTTGGCTTCGGATTCTTCTTTTTGCTTTTTGTATTTTTCAAATTCGGTTTTCGTGAAAATTGTTTGTGAAATTTGTTTCCTGTCTGGACCGTTTTCTTCTTCATAATATATACCAGTTTTTTTAAATCCATTTATAATGTTATCACTTGACATTTTTTGATATTCTGAAGTCAGCAACTGAACAAATTTATCCTTTGGTAGCTTCTTCCGTGGATTAGCTCGTTGCCACTTACAAAGTTCCTTGTCCCAAGCGTTTTTCATGCTTCTAAAAACCCCCACAAGACATGAGTAGAATGCGGGGGCAATTTTAAAATCGTCACATCGTTGGCGACTGCTAATTCTATTACGTCAACGGAAATGTGTGATACATGACCGTCTACAATTAGCAATGCTGGGCGCTCATTTGGAATATTGGGTAGGAAACACTTCTGAAACCATTTGTGGAAGAGCTCCGAGTTCATCCAACCCTTATTAGTTGCAGCATAAGCAGTTTTATCAATAGGGTCAGGTTGGCTGGGCAACCAAGACTCAATTATATTCTTCCCTTTAAACACTGTTAGCAGCGGCAATTTTTGGCCAGCCGCAGAGCAGCATACCAAAACTGTTGTGTTCTCTCTGCCCGACGTTGAAATTGTTCTCGTGCTGGGAGTTCCAATTCTACCAACAATTTTGGTTTTTGAAGGATCATTTGAGAATGAAGTTTCGTCGCAGTTGAAAATTAGATGTGCTTTTCCTTGTTTCCCTGGTTTAAATCGGCAACAGTTTTCTCTAAAAGATCAAAAAAACCATACACGGTCCAAGGGTTTTCCGATTTCTTGCGAGCAAGTTCCACGGCCTGCGGTTTTTTAATCGACATTTTATGCCTTTTACAGAAGTGAAGAAACCATTCTTCTCCTGGACGATCATCGCGAAATCTTGTTTTGATTTTATTTCTTTTAGTATAGGTCTGTACAAGATCTAAAACCTCCTCTCTGGAAAGTCCATAGCCCCATTTTTGCATTTCATTTAGTAATGTGGCTAACTTTTGCTCCACATGCAATTCTATTGCCAATTTTCCGCCACCGCCTTTTCCATTTTCGGCCAAAATGCCCTTTTTGCCTCGGGTTCCATTAAGGTAATGACGCAAAGTGGTTCTAGGAATATTGTACCGTTTTGACGCGGCATATACCGTGGCATTCCCATTAACAACATCATCTTTGGCTTGATTAAGCTGTTCTCTAGTATATTTGTCACCATCTGCACCCTTTTCCGTCTTCCGGCGGTAATTTCGAACCATTTTCTACAACCAGAAACCAATATCAGCAAAGGAGTTCAGAACATGTGAGTAACTGGACACTATGGCCCAGTTGCCCGAAGACGTGTGGCCCAGTTACCCCATATGGAACATTTTCTGGGGCAACTGGACCATAGGATCTAAATTGATATTTGAAAATTCTAACCCGCAAACGACAAAATTTACCTGATTTATAAACCTTTCAAAATACCAGTATGGGTCGATAACAAAATTAAAATCAAAAATACACTCACCTTGAAATATCAAAGTCAGCTCTGAAGCGTATTGTTTTGTCACAATTTGCCACCCGGAACAAAATCGTTTCCGCGGGAAATCTAAGTCGCAACATTTACATATGCAACTTCAGGTGCATAGCAACCAACTTTACCATCATAAATATCACTAAAGCTTTTCACAAAATTACTAAAGCATGGTGGCCCAATTGCCCCGGTGGCCCAGTTAACCACATCCACCTTAAATATATATTTTATTATTAAAACAAGTTGCATTTTTCATGCACACTATTTCCAAGTTTTTGGTTAAAAACCAACAGTCCTTAATATTACTGGAAAGTATAAAGTTTTCAAAGGTTACTTATTTATAGGTACCTTTATAGGCTGGATTAAATTCATGTTCTTTGCTTAAAATATTAGAAACAAATGGATTATTTATTTTCGTTGATGATGAAGTTAGCTAACTTTGATAACTCCATTACTCTTTTGGATACTTGGCTTAGCGGTAAATTTCCTGATTGAACTAAGTTTTTTAAATATCCCAATTTTCAAATGGGTAAGAACATATTTGTGTTAAGGGTCCAAATTTTTTTACTTCTTCAACAACATGACATAAATTATGTACATTCATACTTATTGAATCTCTGCCATATAAACATATATATTTTTTAATATAATCTTTTAAGAAATTATCTGCTATTGGAATATATTTTTCATGTTCACGACAAGATAATATTCTATAAGCACTACTTAACAATAAAAAATGATTGTAAGCATCCTTATTTAAAAACTCTTTTAGTACTACCATTCCTGTATATAATAATAGAGTTCTATATTCAGTTCCTTTCCAAAATTTGAAAAAATTTAAACCCCGAATTGATCTAGGTATTTCTGAGGGTTTTGTGTCATTAATTAATTGTAATAAATTTGATAAGAAATTTATTTGAGCAGAAAATTTTGTTTTAAAGTTGTAACTGCCATTACACCATCCGTATATATGTTACGGCTAATGTGCAACTAGCTAGATAGTTTATAAACTAGCCAAACTGTCAGCTATTTTAATTGAAAATGTATTTTCAACTAAATTAGCGGCTACTTTACAAACTAACCAAGGATCTTGGCTAATTTACTTGAAATTATTAGGGAAACTAAAATAGCTGGATAGTTTGTATACTATCCAATTCAATTTGGCTAATATGAAAACCAAAATTTCTAGTAACACAAAATAGCCAAGCTTTAGCTAGTTTGTAAACTAACCAACTAATTATCTGGCTAATTTATTAATAACTAATTTTTGTAATAACTTGGAGGGGTTTGTATTTATATATTTTACTCTTAAAAACACTATTAATTATAATAATAGTATGTAATTCATTTAAACTAATAATAATTATTATTATTAATATTATAATTAATAGTGTTTTTAAAAATAATGCATTATATGCCAGACGGCCAATAAATGGGCAATATTAAAATGCAAATAAATGATTTAAATTCTTTATTAATAAAAAAATAAAATTTATTTAATATTGTTAAATAAGTAGGTATAATAAAAAAATAATATTCTTTAAATTAAAAATAAATAAAAAAAATTCTAAATAATCTTAGATTATTTATTTATTGCAACATGATTCGCTGTTATGACACTTGCTGTTACATGTGTACCCCATTTGGATACATTTACATTTTTTGTTTATGCAGCGTTTTTTACATTGACGCCTTACGTATCCTTGAGTGGATCCTGAGACTGACAATTTTCTCACAGCAATCCTAAGACTTATCTCTGTGTCTTTTTTAACATCATCTAAAGATAAAGAATTTTGTTTGCATAAATCGAATTGATTTCGTGAAAATAATTGTTTTAATACTCCATGTACTGTACCAAGTCGATAAAAATTATCTTCAACACACATAATTATGGCCAGAATATTTCTGTGATCAGAACGGCTTCTGTCGACGTCTGGAATTGGAACACGTACTGTCATGCCAACATCTCCAGACTTAAATTTTTTAGAGGAAACCTGTAACATCTTTTCGGCTTGCCTTTTTTGAGCTTCACGGCACTGATTTCTTATATTTTCTATATTTTGTCTGTTTTTACTAAGTGAACATAAATTATCTTCTTTGCATATTGTGCAGCTTTGTAAATTCTCAATATTTTCTACAACTTCAATTGGATTTAAATTTTTCTCTGGAATATCATATTCTTTGATTGTATTGTTGAGTGTGTCTTCAATTGTTAGTATAAGAATATCATCTGAAGTGCTGGTGCTAGGATAACTGGCAAGGTTATTTTCATTAAATCTTAACTCATTTAAACTATCTACTATAATATAATTTTGCTCCTCATTCTCGGTCGTTGTTTGTTGAATTTTCAATTCTTCTATAATATCACATTTTAAATATTAAATGATAAAAAGCTTAACATTTTTTTACTTACCTATTTCCACTTCTTCTTTTTTATAGTTTTATTTATTTCTTGATTTACTATATCGACTTTTTTATTTTCCAATTGTTTAGGCATATCATTAATTGTGTAAGAGGATTCTTAGTTACTCGGAAGAGTATCTTCATCATTGGAGTTTTTAAGAAGCAGTTCTAAATATTCCTCGCTCTTCAACATTCTTATTTTTTCCGAGGAAACAGGAAGGTCATTTAAACCATCCCTGCAAGGAACACCAAAAAGTGCCTCATAAGGGCTTCTTCCAATACCGGAGTGAAAGCATCTATAAATTAAAAAAATTATAAAGGTAATTTTCGGCATCAAAAATTATATCAACAGCAAACAAATTCCCAAAAATCATAAAAAATTAGTATTATGGTATTATGGTTATTAAAGTAGATACCTTGGTAAATACTAACCTATTTTTGTAAAACTGTACAAATCCAAGACCTTCACTCCATTTAGTTGAGTTGTTATCTTTCATCCAGGATGCTAATTTATTTTCAATGTCCTGGTTTGCCCTCTCCACTGAGCCCTGAGACCGTGAATGCCGTGGTTTTCCATGTACTATTCGACAATTTGGCCAAAGTTGTACTAATTCTTCAATAACCTGAATTAAAAATAAAAATGATTACACTTTTTACTACACATAGAGAAAGTTAATTTTAATTTAAAAGGAAGATACAAAATTTTAATGTAAAATATTAAAGAAAAGATTTTAAACTTACTTGATTTGCAAATTCTCTCCCATTGTCACTTTGTAATACACATGGACTACCCAAATGTGTAAATACCTCCAAAAGATTATAAGCTGTTTCTTTGGCTGTTTTTGTTTTCTTTGGTCGTAATCGGACATATTTGGTTAGGTGATCCACCTGGCACCGTGAATTGAGATTATTCGAACAAATTGGTTTTACCACAACTCCTTTTCTTGCTTTGTTCTTTTTTAATTGGCAGTTTTCACATCCCTCAATAAATAGAGTCACAATTTCTTGGGTGATATTTGAATACTTCTGATTGATAAGCTTTAATATTACTTGCCTTCCCCCATGCCCAGTTGACTGATGGGATTCTTTAATAATATCAAATAATTCTTCCATGCAGGCTATCAATTTGCCTGATTGTTTATTTAAAAGAGTGTATATTTCACCAATACGCTGTAGGTTAAAGTGCTTCATTAAATAATAATCACTTTTTTGAGCACCTAAAGGGCCATTAAGACGCAGGTCAATTAATTTATCAATTACACTTTTATAATCGCTTTCACGATATATTTTTGAATTGTTGGCTTTTTTATCATAAATTTCTAACAAGGAAGCGTTTAAATTTTGCCTGTGATTCATTTTAAATACGTTAAAATGCACAACACAAATCCACTGGCGTCTGCCGGCAGTCCGCGTACGACCCGCGAAAATGGCCGAAGCCAAATACTATTATTTGAATAATTTAAATAAAGCAAAAATAGAGGTAAAAACTGGTAGTCTAACAATTTAAATATTTTATTTTAATTTATTTAATATGTCATTTAAAGCAAATATTAAATAAATTAAAATAAAATATTGAAAAAGTGAAAAATATATAGGTATATACCTATATATTTTTCACTTTTTTATTTACAGAGTTAATTATAAGTAAGTAGTTAGAAATAGAATTTAAAAAAATAGTTTTAGAGTTAAAAATATTTGCTTTAAATGACATTAAATAAATTAAAATAAAATATTGAAAAAGTGAAAAATATATAGGTACCTATATACCTATATATTTTTATTTTTTTTTTATTTACAGAGTTAATTATAGTTAAAAAGAGAATTTAAAAAAATAGTTAAAAACTACCAGTCTAACAATTTAAACTAGACTACCTCTAAAACTATTTTTGCTTTAAATATGTATGTATGTAGTATTTGGCTTCGGCCATACAAATATTTGTATTTTACATTTGTAAAAACCATAATTAATTAATTAATAATCATAATATATTAGAAAAAGTCAATGGAAACAAAACATTTGACAAAGTTATTTATTTACTATTTAATTAAAAAATTACAAAAAATCACTTTTTAACCATTTCTAGTGACAAAACTTTCTTTTCTTTTTCGGATGGATTGACAAATTTCTTCCCTTTTCGTTTTGGTTTATTTTTGGTAGACACAAATCGAAGTTGTTTTTTTATTTTTTTGTTGGGTGGCTCCAAAGAAGACTCTGTGGATACGAAGGAAATTTTATCTGTTTTGGAAAGTGCATTTATAATGCTCTCCACAGGAGCTAGCTGTTTTATGACTGCATGTAACTGGGTTTCATTTTCTATATTATTATATGTTTTTATAAAATTGTCCAAAAACTCTTGTTTCCTTTTAACAAACACATCTGCCTTTGTTGTGCTTACAACATTTAATATGTCATTTTCTTCATTAATTTCCTGTATCTGTTCTTCAAGATTAAGATCACAGTTTTCTTTGGTAGTTGAAGTTTCTGCTGTTAGTTCATTATTTCTTAAATGCATACACACCATGTGAATATGTTTGCACATATTCCATTTTATGGAATAATCAATGCAACTACATGAGTAAGCATGAATGCAAGCATTGCATTCTTGACAATATAGCCCACAAGTACACACAGTTTGTAGAAATTTCACTGTATAAATATCATCACATTTGGTAGAAGATACAAGTAGATGTAAAAGGGTGATTCTATGACAATCTGTGACTATGTCACAGAAGCCCCCTGCATGCAAAAGAATAGGATGGGGATTGAAAAACATGATAAATAAATTTTTTGAAATTTTTTGTCATAGAATCCCCATCCATGTAAAAGAATAGGATGGGGATTGTAAAACAATGATTGTCTGTGTCACAGTATCACCCTGCATGCAAATGAATAGGATGGGGATTCTATGATAAATAAATTTTTTTGTCATAGAATCCCCATACATGCAAAAGAATAGGATGGTGATTGTAAAACAATGATTGTATGTGTCATAGAATCACCTCCTATGCAAATGAATAGGATGGGGGTTGAAAAACAAAAATAAATGCTTCTCAACTCTTATGGAATGTTTGATCGGGTTAATCGGGCACAATGTACTCCGATCCTACCCAAATTAATTATATGTTATTAATAAAAAATATTTTCTTTTTACTATTTCGATTTACCTCGTATAAGTTAAAGTTATGAAACTTGGACCAGTATCTGTTTAAATGCAACATTCGAAAAGAATGCGAGTCGAGGTCGGTTTTGTGTTTTACCTCGCTTTAAAAATTCAGTATCTTTTTACCTGTTCTTAAATAAGGTCAAGTTAACAGTAGGTACTTATAAATAAATGTTTGTTTTTGCAGTGTAAGTCGTGTAAGTGTATGTGTTACAATGGAACAACTCAAGCATATTAAATTTGTAAGTGAAAAATTGTTTAATGTAATTGAACCAACAACGCTACTTAATAATAGAGTTTTTATGCATGTTATAAACAAATTAAAATTATTTACAAATAATAAACGTAGAGTCTTCCTGACCGGTGGTTTTTTATGTTTTTTGTTAAATTTGAGTAATTCATATAACGACATCGATTTTTTCTTTGAGGGGGATGTACATCCTGGTGATTTTGAATTATGGAAATCACGAACAGTTAATAACAAGTATAACGAAGATCGCTTTAAATGTGTTTATTTTAAAGAAGATGGTATTTTATATAATTTTATCTACTTGAAAGACTTTTCTTTTTTAACAACTATGGAACAATTTATAACATCAATTTTAAATAGCTTTGATATGGATTTTTGTAAGAATGCAATTTATTTAGAACCTTATCATAACGGATTTAATTATTATCTTATTAGATTTAATTTTTGCGATATGTGGGTTCGTGATAACCTTAATATAAATTCTAGAATGGACAAGTATTTAAATCGACTAAATAACTTTGATCTTTATATTGGAAATCCACAAAAATTATCTTTATTAAGTTTGTTGGAAGTTTCTAAAACGCAGGAAAAGGAAGCAAACAAAACTGTTGAAACATTTTTTTAATATCATATTTTATTATATTAAGGGTGTAGGGTAAAAACTAAAAAAATAATATTTTATTTTAAATGGTGTAGGGTATATTTTAATTATATTTTATGTTTTAGGATGAATATTTAAACTTTTTCTATACCTATTTATTTTAATTACCAAAATTCAACGAAATAATTTTTACCTTCTTTTTATTACCTGCTCTTTACAACGTTCTACGTAAGGTAGACTACCTGTGTGATTTCTTTTATTATCAGTCGTTAAGAAAACGTCTTAGTTGACGGGGTTTTAAATTTTCAACGAATTTAAGTGAGTATTTATAATAAAAATAATGTCTTAAATTAAATAATCTCTCACAATATTTTTCTGTTTTGTACGACATTTAAATATAACTACGTAGTTTGTAGAGATTAAATCAGTTCAACAAAGGATTTCAAGAAGTCGTCTAAACAAGAATGTTTCAAGGTTACAATCCGGTTAAATCTGCTGTTTCAAAATAATGAACAAAGTAAGTACTACTAATTAAATATTTAAAATTAAAACTAATAATAATTTTTTGTAGCCTTATAATTTTTTATTAAATTAAAACTTATTGCTGTTTTATATGCTAATAATTAAACAAAAATATTGAAAATAATGTAACTTTATAATATTTTGTGTGTTTTGTATGCATACAGGTTTTAAAATATTTTTTATTTAATTTTTTAGCTTGTACATAAAAACGAGGTCAACACACACAAACAGTCTAACAAAGGGATCCAACAAGTTTTTAAGAAGTCGTTGATCGAGAATGTTCCAAGGTTGCATCCCGGTTAAATCTGCTTTTTAAAATAATTAACAAAGTAAGTGCTATTAATTAAATATTTAAAATTAAAACTAATAATACTTTTTTTTTGTAGCCTTATAATTTTTTATTAAAACTTGTTGATGTTTTATATGCTAATAATTAAACAAAAATAATTTAAAGTAATTTAACTTTATAATATTTTGTGTGTTTTGTTTGCCAACAGGTTTTAATATATTTTTTTATTTAATTTTTTAGCTTGTACATAATAACGAGGTCAACATACACCCACACACACACACATTCAAACAAAGAGATCCAACAAGTTTTTAAGAAGTCGTTGATCGAGAATGTTTCAAGGTTACAATTGGGTTAAATCTGCTTTTCAAAATAATTAACAAAGTGAGTCCTATTAATTAAATATTTAAAATTAAAACTAATAAAACTTTTTTTTTAGCCTTATAATTTAATATTAAATTAAAAGTTATTGCTGTTTTATATATTAATAATTAAAAAAATATTAATAAACTTAATATAATTTTGATTGTTTCGTATGCATACAGGTTTTAATACATTTTTAATTTTTTAGCTTGTACATAAAAAAAACAACGAGGTCAACACACAGAGGGAGAAATCTTGTCCAATACATAAGAAACACGAAATCAACATACAGAGGGAGAAATCTTGTTCAATTCATAAGGACCACACACACACGCAGTAAAGGAATCAATCAAAAGGAACACACAGTTACACACACAATCACACACACCTAAATCGTTTTTAAAAAACCAAGTGAGTAGTAATAATGACATCTATAACTGAATTATCTAGTAAAGCAATTGAAAAATTAAAACAAACAATACCGTTACTTAAAAAAAATATAGAATATCAAAATCAAATAAAACAAGTTAAAAAAATTGTTTTATTATTAAGAAGGCGATTCGTGAAAATTTATTAGAAGAAAATGAAAATAAATTTAAAGCTGAAGGAAATTTATCTTCCTTAATTTCTTATATCAATTTTTTTAAAAACCAAATAAAGTCTGGAAAAGGTTTGCAAACTCGAAAATATTCAAAACAAATTTATTGGCAAAATCTAGAATCCTGCTTTAATAGTCGTATTTGTACAGGAATGATTGTTAATAATAAAATTAAAAATGTTGATATTTTTTTAAAAAAGCTTATCGTAGCTTTGTTATTAAAATTAGAAAAGCTTTAAATTCAAGTATTATTAAAGTTAATTCAATTTTATATGCTAATTTTATTCAACCTAGTACTCATGAAACCGATTTAAAACATTTTATAACACCAAATGAAATAATTGATTTAGGAACCGATTTAAAAAAATGGTTTAATGAAAACATTGTAGATAAATTAACAGTAAAGCTAGAAGATTTTCAAGAACGTGATAGCGGATGGAGTTTATTGGAAATAGCAGGTTTAAAAATAAACATAAATAAATTTTGTCCTATAAGTGCGGGGGCTTTTGTAGAACTACCACAGTTTATTAAAAATAAAAAGGCGGTTTTAAACATTAAAAATAATGATAAATATTGTTTTTTATGGTGTATTGTCGCATCCTTGTTTCCCAATGCCGGCAACCCCTCTCGTACTTCAAGTTATCCTGATTTTAGATCAGTTTTAAATTATGAAGGTATAGATTTTCCTATAAAATTCAAAGATATAAAAAAATTTGAAAATTTAAATAATTTATCAATTAATGTTTATTGTGTAGAGAATGATACTGTTCTACCGGTTGTTTTAAGTAAACGTAAAACACCTAGTTATATAAATTTGTTGGCATTATCAACAAACGGTATTTTTCACTTTGCATTAATAAAAAATTTATCTCGGTTGGTTTCAAATCAAATTTCAAAACATAGATGTAAAAAATATATTTGTCATAGATGTTTAAATTATTTTTCAAATCAAAATTTACTAAATAAACATAAACAAACTGTATTAATATTAACGAGTGTAAAACGACTGCAGCAAATCCAAGAGAAAATATATTAAAATTTACACAATATCATACCAAACAAATAGTACCGTTTGTTGTTTACGCTGATATTGAATGTATTTTGAAACCATGTAATTTTGATTTAAATAAAAACTCATTTAATGTTCATAAACATATTCCTTATAGCGTTTCATATTATCTTAAATGTACATATGACGATTCTTTATCCAAATTTAAGTTGTATCGAGGAGATGATTGTATAATATGGCTTGTTTCAGAATTTAAAGAAATTGCAATGAAATTTAAAAATATCCCCGAAAAACAAATTGATCCTTTAACCAATTTTGAAAAAGAGTTGTTTAAAAATGCTACTCACTGTCACATTTGTGAGGAAACATTTAAACCAAACGAAGAAAAAGTAAAAGATCATTTTCATCTTGCTTCAGGTTGTAATGATATAAATTCTGAAAAAACCAATTACAGAGGTCCGGCACATAGCTTGTGTAATTTACAATTTAAAAGAATTAAAACTATCCCAATAATTTTTCACAATCTTAGTAATTATGATTCTCATTTTTTAATTAAAGAATTATTAAATCAATATGAAGGACATTTATCTATATTACCAAGCACCAAGGAAAAATACATTTCTTTTTCAAAATTTGTTAAAGAAGCTAACATTTATCTTAGATTTATAGATTCGTTTAGATTTTTACCAGAAAGCTTGGATACATTAAGCTCTCAATTAGAAAACTCTGAAAAAATAATTACTAAAGCACATTGTCAAAACGAAGACGAATTTGCAATACTTTGCAATAAGGGTATATTTCCATATGAATATATTAACTCTTGGGATAAATTAAATGAGGAAAAATTACCAGAAAGAAATTGTTTTTTTAGTTCTTTAAACGATTCGCATATTACGGATAAGGAATATGAAAGAGCATTAAAAGTTTGGCAAGGTTTTAATATTAAAAATTTAGGGGACTATAGCGATTTATATTTAAAAACTGATGTACTTTAATTATCAGATGTTTTCGAAAATTTTCGTAAAACTAGTTTAAAAACGTATAAGCTAGACCCCACAAACTTTGTTAGCACACCCTCTTTTTCATTTCAAGCAATGTTAAAAACAATAGATTTTAAATTGGAATTATTAACTGATATTGATATGTGTATGCTTATAGAAAAAGGTATAAAAGGGGGGGTTGTTCAATGCAATAAAAGATATTCCAAGGCCAATAATAAATATATGACCGACTATGATCCTTCTTCACCCGATAATTATCTTATTTTATTCGATATCAATAACTTATATGGCAAATCCATGACCCAGTATCTTCCTTACGCCGGTTTTGAATGGATAGATCCAGAATCTATCGACATAAAAAAATTACCCGAAAATAACTCTGATTTTGGTTATATTTTAGAGGTAGATCTTGAATATCCCAGCCACCTTCACAGTTTGCATAAAGACCTTCCATTTTGTGCCGAGCATTTGGTTCCAGAAAATTCAAAATCAAAACAAACCAAACTTTTAACAACATTAAATAATAAAGAAAAATATGTTATTCATTATGTTTTACTAAAGCAAGCTATGGAAAAAGGACTCGTTGTTAAAAAAATACATAGGGTAATAAAATTTAAACAAGCTCCATGGTTAGAAAAGTACATTTCCCTAAACATAGAGTTGAGAAAAAAATCTATTTTCAAATCTGAACAAAATTATAACAAGCTGCTTATAAATGCCATTTTCGGCAAGACCCTAGAAAATGTGCGAAAATATAGAGACATAAAAATTGTGAATAATTGGCATAGTGCAAAAAAATATATTGCAAAACCCAATTTTCATAATGCTGTTATTATAGATGAAAATATAATTATAATAGAATTAAAAAAAATTGAAGTTACCATAAATAAACCAATTTATGCAGGCATTTCCATTTTAGATATTTCAAAAACATTTCTTTATGATTTTCATTACAATTTCATAAAAAAAGAAATTCCAAACAATTCAAATTTGTTGTATACAGATACAGATAGTTTAATTTATGAAATTAGTAATATTGATGTATATGATATTATAAAACGTTTTCCACAAAAATTTGATACATCGGAATATCCAAAAAATAATGTATATAAAATTCAACAATTAAATAAAAAGGAGTTGGGGCTTATGAAAGATGAGAATTGCGGTAAAATTATGACTGAGTTTGTAGGTCTTAAAGCTAAAATGTACTCATATAAAGTAGAACCACAAACTAGTATTAAAAAAATTAAAGGGATTCGAAAACCAGTAATTCGTCAAATTACATTTAATGATTTTTTAGAATGTTTAAATAATTGTACAACCCTAATTAAATCTCAATATTTAATTTCTTCCAAAAAACATCAAGTTTTTAACACATGTCAAAAAAAAATTGTTTTATCATCTAATGATGATAAAAGAGTTATACTAGAAGATGGTATTAATACATTACCGTGGGGTTTTAAATCAGAATAAAAATTTTATTACACTACTTTTATTTTTATTTAAATATAGTTTGGTATACAAATATTAAACTAGTTTTGTGTTGGACTTTACTACACAAACATGCAATTAGTAACAGTGTTTCTAGTGTTATCCTCTGTTATAAATAATACCTTGTACATCAATTACCCGAAATATACTGAAAAGTGTTTTATTACGTATAATGTAAAAAATGCTAGCCTGGATGAAAGATGGTCTCAAGGTTGGAAGGAAATGAAGAAACAAGATTGGACATGTTCGTTTGATGTTGAAAATAGTGATTTTATATATTTTAAAGTTCGATATTTATTAAATAATAAGTATTATAAATTTATAGACACACTGCAAACTGTACCAATTAATTCAACTGCTTTAAATAATTATATGATGACTATCAAATCTAAATTAAATGTTTATAAAATAACAGCTATTTTGTTAGGTATTTGTTGTTTAGGTTTTATATCATTAATTATTATATTATATTACTCGTATTTTGTAACAATGAAAAGGTATTAAATAAAATATTTTAAATAATGTTCAATACATTTATTACAATAAATCTTTTTTATCAATCCACTGCTTATCATTTACACCAAACCACTTCAAATAGACCTTTGTTCCTTTTCGTCTTAGTATTTTTTCCACAAGATAAACATCGGGAAACTTGGCTTTTTGCAACTCATATTCATAAAATCCTCCTAAAATTGGATGTCCATATTGATCATCTAAAATATATGTTGTTGGATTAGTTAATTTAACTTTTTTAACAGTAAAAATTTCGTTGGGCCAATTTGGTGTATAACCTTTAGAAAAAGCCTCTCGATACTTGCTAATTCTAACCTTATCACCTTCTTTAAATTTATTTAATAAACTAGACATTTTTAATTGATTAAAGTTGTCAAGAATATATTTTTCATTTTTTTTATTAACATCAATAGGTTTCATTTTTATAGTTCCATGTTTTGTTGAATTATATTTTAAAACAATTTCAGGCAATAATTTAATCCATTTGTAATTACCCTGATAGCTAAACTCTTTCCACATTAAAGATTTTAAAGTTCTATTGACTCGTTCTACAATTGAAGCTTTCATAGTGCTAAACGTTGAATAATGATTAATTTTAAATTTATTCATTAAATTCTTAAATTCTTTATTATAAAATTCCTTTCCCATATCTGTCTGCATATGCTTTGGATGATTATTTTTTAAAATTTTATTCATTGCTTGTGTAATTTCCTTGCCAGTTTTATTTTTTACTGGCAAAGCCCACACAAACTTACTAAATGTATTAATTACAACAAGGATATAGTTATACCCCCCGTTTTGTTTAGAAAAAGCTTGCATGTCCACGAGATCTGCTTGAAAAAGATCGTTTAAACCTTTAATAATTACATGTCTACGTTTAAATTTTTTTCTAGCTGATTTATGCAATTCATTAATTATTTCTCTTTTAAAATCAATTATTTTATTCATATTTTACAACTAAAACCTACAAAGGTTATAATACTAATGATAAATTAGAATTATTTTATTCAATTATATTTGCCTCTTTTAATTCTTCAATTATACTAACAATTTCGTTGTTATGATTGTTATTTCCTGCAAATCGTGATGCCATTAAAATTTTTAATCGATTAACCAACTCATTGGGATCATCCCAATGTACGTATTCAAAGGGTTTATTATTATATTTCATTAATAAACCACGACCTCGACGTGTTGTAGAGGTTGTGGCAGAAGTTGCTCCACCATTATTATCATCATCATCATCATCATCATAGTATTCTGCAAGACGTCTGGGTTGAGGTAATCTTAACTTTAATATTTGTTTTTGTTGTTTTTCTTTCGATTCTTTAACAATTTCATTAAGTAAAGGTTTAATTACATACTTATACTTTTCACCTCTATTACCAGCTGTTTGTTCATCCGCATCAAAATTTCTTTTATGTGCATTCGTGCTTTGCATAATATTTTTAAAATTTTCTCTATCTTCTGGAGTTATTAAACTTTCGTTTGGTCTATTTTTAAACAATAACTCATATAAACCATAAGTACCTTTATATATTTTATCTTTAACAAGCTTTGTTTTCCCTTTTATAACAACATCATTTCCTTTAAAATCCATTTCTGAATCCCCAAAACGAAATTTTGCTGTAATTACATCATAATTTAGATAATGAGTATCAAATATAGATTCAGTGTCTCGTATATATTTTTTAACGTATTCACGAGGTATTTCATCAAAATCTTCTAAATACAAATTAAAAGACTCATCTCGATTTATATAATCCCCAATATCTTGATAATTCTGTTGGCTAATACTGTCATCATAAATATAACTGCCTTGTAATGCATCTTGTAACGTATGATCTGCTATATTTGAATATTCAAATGTTTCATCATGTTTTACAGGGCTGGTTCCAAAGTCCCTTTTATTTGTTTTTATAGGGCTTGTTGCAAAGTCCTTTTTTTTTTTTTGATTTTATTGTTTTAGTTCCAATATCCCTTTTATTTGTTTTTATAGGACTGGTTCCAACATTTTATTTGTATAGAATTTTTTCTCTTTTTCGTCTTCTTCTGCATCTTTTTTCTCCTCTTTTTTAATACTTTCTAATTTTACTTTTGGTTCATTTTGTTGAACAGAATAGGAAATTAATTGTTTAAAGGGTTGTAAAACATGTTCCGTTTGAAATCTATTTAGTTTTAATGCTTTTAATTTATTTTTAATATCTTTTCTTTTTTTAATTAATTTTTTTGTTATTGTTTTTTGATCCATGTTAACTACTATTAACAACAATTTTATTATAACTGATGAATAAATTATTATTTTTTATATTTATAGTAATACAAAACCTCATCTGTTAAAAAAAACCGACTGCTGTTTTTACAGTAAAACAGGTATTTAAACAGCCAGTTTTATTAAAACAGCATGCTGTTTAAATAGTTAACCAGCTGTTTAAATATGCAGTTGTAGAAGAAAAAAACAGTCATGAAAATATAAAAGAATCAAATCCCTTTCTATAACGACCATAATTAATATCACAATCTTTGCATATAACTAAAAACCCATATTTGTCTTGCCAACACTTTGAACACATTTTTAAAAAATTATTTAATGAAATATCTGTATTAACATGATCTTTGTAAATATGTTTTAAATTCATTTCATCTTGTTTAAAAATAATTAACATATTTGCATTGTCTCTAATTAAATGTTTTGGTATATGAGCATAAGTTTGAGTTAAATAAAAAGAGTCAATAAGGTTATGCCTACCCATTGCAAAAAAATCTCTAATAACACTTTGTTTTTCACATGCAACATCATCAAATATAAAAATTGAATTGGGTTTAGCATCAGAAGGGTTTACTATATTTTCATTATCACTATATTCAAAATATTTAATTTCTCTGATAGGTTTTAATAATTCCTTTAAGTAAACATAAATTGGTTGATATAATGATTTAGAATAAACATACACATTTTCAAAACGTAAACCATTAACATCTTCAAGCAAATTTAGCATAACATTTGTTTTTCCACAGTTAGAGGGGCCTGCTATTATACATCTAATTGTACTAGGTAGCAAAGTTCCATGCCTAAGCAGTTTATTATTATTCGCAAAATCAAATTTTTTAACCGGTAATTGACACTTTTGTTTAACTATTCGCATGTTTAACAACTAAATATATTTTTGATTTGCATCTTCTTATATAAATAAAACCACTATTTATAAATTAATTAGTTTAATAAACGCATTAGATTAGGAAAGATCAAATTTGATAAATAAGTATACATAAAAGTATGCAACTCATTTGTAAAAAAACAATCAAACGAAAAGGTAGCGGTCTCTTAAATAAATTAATAAATAAATTACCCTTTGAGGCACATATTCCCGGCGGGTATAGATTTTGCGGACCCGGAACTAAGCTTAATAAACGATTAGCACGAAACGATCAAGGTATTAATCAGTTAGA